CTTTAGGACTTAAATGCAATCTAGCACACAACGTGACACTAAACACAATATCAGATCTGCTGGCTGTAAGGTACAAGAGAGATCCAATAATACCCTGCTGTATAGTTTCATTTACAGGGGAACCAGGTTCATCCATGTCTAGGCTAGTGGCATTGGTAATGGGAGTGTCAATGGTCTTTGAGATTTCCATCTCAAACCACTACAGAAGCTCCTTAATGTATTTCTGCTAACTTATCATTGTTACCTTAGAGGTTTGCTTAACTTGTAGTCCAAGGAAGAAATTTAGTTCCCCCATCATACTCATCTCAAACTCGTTTCCCATAAGCTTTGCAAACTCCTCACATAGAGAATCATGCATTGCACCAAAAATGATGTCATCAACATAGACTTGTACAACCAGCAAGTTCCTCCATCTTTTCTTTAGGAAAGGAATGTTGTCAATTTTCCCTCTAGTGAAGCCATTCTCCAGAAGGAACCTGGAAAACCTTTCATACCTTGTACGAGGGGCATGCTTCAATCCATATAAAGCCTTGTAAAGCTTGAAGAAATATCTGCGATGTTCATGACATTCAAAACCAGGTGGTTGTTTGAAAAAAAGTTCTTCCTTAAAATATCCATTTATAAATGTACAATTAACATCCATTTGGAACAATTTGAATTCCATATGAGATACAAAAGCAATGAGAATTCTGATGGCTTTCATTCTTGAATAAGGAGAAAAAGTTTCAAAAAATTAATTCTTTCTTCTTTATTATAGCCTTGGACCACCAGCATGGCTTTATTTCTTGTTGTATTGCCAAACTCATCAAGCTTGTTTCTAAACACCCACCTGGTTCCAATAAGTGATATGCCTGAGGGTCGAGGAACCTGGTGTCACACGTTGCTCCTCTCAAATTGATGGAGCTATTTTGCATAGAAGCAATCTAGTCAGCATATTTCAATTGTTCCTTGATATTTTTTTGTTCAATTTGAGACAAGAAAGATGAGAAGGCAAACATGTTTCTTGTCTTGGATCTAGTATCAATCCCTGAATCCAAAGGAGTGATTACACTTTGCTCTACATCAAGAGCGCCCAGTACCGCATCAGTAACTCTATTTTCAGCTTCAGTTGTTGTGATGGAGGGACAAGGTTCCTCCGAATCAGTTGGATGTTCTGCCGCATCTTCTTCACTAGAGACCCTAAATTGACTCATTAAATCTGCCTTCCTTTTTGCCATATCAGTAATTTCTCCAAGGACCTTTGATTAACTCCATCTTGATCATCCTTATCATGTGAATCTTTCCCACTTGAGTGGTGTGATTCATCAAAGATTACGTGTACTCTTTCTTCTGCACATTGAGTTCTTTTGTTGTAAACCTTGTATGCTTTATTTTGTAAAGAATAACTAAGAAAGGTTCCTTCATCACTTTTAGCATCAAAGTTTCCCAACACTTCCTTACCATTATTGAGAGTAAAGTATTTGCATCTAAATGTTCTCAGGTAAATCAGCTTTGGTTTTCTCCCACTAAGCAGCTCATACAAGGTCTTGTTTAAAAGGGACCTGATCATGCACCTGTTAATCAGATAATAGACAGTGTTCAATGCTTCAGCCAAAAATTCTTTGGTACACCACTATAAATTAACATCGTTTTTGTCACATCTTCAAGAGTCCTATTTTTCATCTCCACAACACCATTTTGTTAGGATGTTTTGGGAACAATAAAATTATGCCTTATACAATTATTAGCGCAGAATTCATCAAATTGTGCATTGTGAAACTCGGTACCATGATCAGATCTAATGCTCACAGTATTATCTCTTATTTTTACTTGAATATACTTCACAAAAGCAACAAAGATTGGAAAGGTTTCATCTTTGGTTATGAGAAATAAGGTCCACGTGAATCTGGAATAGTCGTAAACAATAAAGAAGATCTACTTCTTTCCTCCTTTATGGCATCCTCACAGGTCCACGCAGATCCATATGGAGAATATCTAGTGGCTTTGAGGTGCTCACTTCCTTCTTTGGCTTGAATAAGGACCTGACTTGCTTTCCTTTATTTCCATTATAGCATATTTGAGAGACACTCAGCAGGCTGTATTTCAAGATATTTACATCATACAAATTTTCAATTGAGTTATTGAGTGTTTTCTCAATTTTTCCAACTCCAAGAATGTATCCCTTTTTGCCATTTCTAAAGGACACACCCCACCTTGCATGTAACGATCCGACCGGTTATTTTGCTTCCTATATCTCCATTCCTATAATTAAGACTCCCTATATGCGCTTTTACTACTTTATTACTTGAGAGGATGGTTGGTATTGGTTTGGAAGGGTTCGGGTTGAAATCGGAACACTTAACTCCTTACTAGTGGCCTAAGGTGGCCAAGTTTGACTTGAGTCAACATTTTGAGTAAACGATCTTGGAACTGGGATTTGAAGGTTTCAATAGGTGTGTATGATGATTTTGGACTTGGGCGTGTACTCGTATCGGGTTCGGGTAATCCGGGAGTATTCCTGCGCTTTTTGTGGAAAGTTAGTTCATTGAAGGTTTTCTAGTTCTTCAAATTTGGTTGGCGTAGACTTTATGTTATGGCGGTCCGTTTGGGATTTCAAGCCTGGAAATATTTCTGTATGGTAATCTATGACTTGTACGCAAAATTTGGTATCACTCCAAGTAGTCTAAGTATGATTCGACGCGTTCGGAGTTAATTGAAAAGTTTGAAGTTCACAAGTTGATTCAAGTTATTTTTGGGGTACAATTCTTGATTTCAATGTTTTTTACGTGTTTTGAGGGTTTGAGCAGGTTCTTGTTTTGTTTATGGACTTGTTAGTGCTATTGGTTAGGGTCCAGGTAGCTCGGGTGAATTGCGAACAACCCGGATCTAAATCTAAAAATTTGATGTTGCTGGTTCTGGCTTCCTTCTTCACGAATGAGGAGGTGGAGTTGCATTCACGGATAAGGAATTAGGGGGACATGCCATTTTTCCCTTCACGTTCTTGTTCATGGGGTCGCGTTTGCGAAGACTGGGTTGGTAGCCTCCATGTTTGCGAATACGGGCCCGCATTCTTATAGAACAAAGGGCCTGGGGGGGAGGGGTCAGACACGTTTGCTCTTCACGTTCGCAAAGTTCAGGCTGGGCAAGCCTTTGTGATCACGAGACAAACATTGCATTTGCGAAGAAGGACTTCACTATTTGGGCCAGTTATGCATTCGCGATCGCGAGGCTTCTTCTGATATCGCGAAGAAGAGATCACTAGGCAGAATTAATTTTTAATACTGGACTTAGTCTCTTTTTTCTTATTTCCCACTTGGTCTTGGGCGATTTTGAGAGAATTTCGTGGGAAATTTTCATCAACATTAAGAGGTAAGTGATCCCTATCAATTTTTGAGTTTAATACACGAATTATTGGTAGATTTAACATGAAATTAAGGAGAAAATTGTGGGATTTTGTTGGAACCTAAGGTTTGATAAAATAAGATTTGTCCACAAAATTGATTATATAATTCGGAATAAATTATATATTTGTTTTTTTTGGGTGTAATTTTTTTGATCCGCTAGGCAATCGCCTAGGGCTAATTTTTATAACCAATAAAATCATAAATAAAATACATTGTCAGGGGGTCTAACATAATGAAATAGATAAACTTTGACGGTTACCTGAAACCTATTATCAATATTGAGTTTGAAATTCAACATTGATATTACATTAGATCTAGCATAAGCCAAGTGTTTAAAATGTAGTCCTGCGCAGTAAGCGTCCCATAATAGAGTGTATTTCGACTTTGTTAAATTTATGGAAAATATATCCAAAGTCCAGTATTCGGTCCAGATTGTCTTTAACCGCATCTTGTACCTGTCGCTGCACTTGCAATAATAGCGTAACTTATTGTGTATTTGTGTGAACCTTTGATTGCCATAAAAGTGTATGTCTTTTTCCATTATTGACTGCATATTAACCCATTGTGTCTCAAATTCTTCCTGCATCGAAGGTTGCCATGTTGACTCCCTCTTGAAGAACGATTGAGCTTTTTGAACAACATTGTTGCTCCATCCAAGCCTTTTTGCTATTAAAGAAAGCCTACTACAGATGATTTCTGCGTAGGCATGCGTTAGCTTGAGATACTCATAATTATTCCTTGCTGTGCAAAATTTCCAGCACCTCAAAAATGAATGAAGTTTTCTTTTTTTAGTCTTCCATGGGTAATTGTAATGGCCCATGATTTGTCCCAAACCTTAGCTGTGCAGAAAACACTAGCCAATGTTCCTTTATTTAAAGTCCTAAGTCTCATAAATCCTTTGTGTCCCCATGTTCTTGGCATGTGCAACCATGCTTCTAAGCTTTTTACTCCTATCGAGTACTTATCCTCGATCCCCTCCCTTTGTTTAACACACCAGTAGAGAGAGTGCATTGGATTTGTGTAGGTTGCTGCATTTGAAAAGTTCTTTATGATGAACTTTAATAAAGCTTCATTATTTTCAGATACAACCTGCTGTCAGAACCATGTGATGCACTTTGTATCCTTCTATTGTATTCCTAAAGACTGGTTCCCTGCATGTGCATTTTGTTTCCTATTGTATATTGAAGATATCCACCTACAGGTCACTTCTGCAGCATTATGGATGTTGGGTTCATCAATGATTCTGCTATATTTGACCTCGATGTCATGTGTCCATCCTTTGTGTGTTGTTGAGTTCCCTACACTATTGGATACTTTATGTTCTCGACTATGATGCTGCATTGATGATTTCTTTCTCTTAGCCTTCTATTTTTTTAATGGATTGCCAGTTCAAATAATTGATTTTCCTCAAGCTTATGCATGTCACCTTTCCTCCTTCAAGGGATTGAGCACAAAGTACTAATACCACCCATAAAAGTCGTATGAAGTGACATGGCTTGAGCATAGTATCGATTCCTGCAAAAAATAACCCAAGGTTAGTAAAATAACATTTGTTGACTTCCTTTCCTCCCCTAGGATTTGAAATCATCCCCTTTGCCCTTGTGTTAACCTCTCCTTCTACTGCCTCGAAGCCTTTACTCTCAGAAATGGACATTGCATTTTGTCTCCATTAACTAATCTTCTGCCTTGTGTATCCAGCTGATGAAAAGAGTGGCATTCTATGACTTCTTGATCAAGAGCATAGTTTGCCAAATGATTAGCTAGCTTGTTCCCCTCTCTGAAAATATGTGTTATCCTGCCATTGCACAGCATTAGCATCTGCCTTATCTCTTTCACTTCCTCCTCAATAACCCATGGTGGTTTCCACTCCCTTGTGATGACCTTCTTAAGCAGTATAGAATCAGTTTCTACCCATATGTTATTCATCTCATTAGTCAAATAATGTTTCAGGGCCTCCAAAATTGCCCTTGTTTCTACTTGAGTGTTTGTCACCTCTTGAATTTCTTTTCCACACGAATAGACTAGATCTCCTTCCTCATTCCTCAAGTAAAAGTCAATTGAACTCCTACCTGGATTACCTCTCGAGGCCACATCTGTGTTAATTTTTGTTCAACCTGTCATAGGAAGTTCCCATAAAACCTTGTTGAACTTTAGTTTGGGAGTGTATTTCTCCATCATTCTAAGTATATCAGGCCATCTGAATGGTCTCGATCAATGCCTGGCTTCCTTAGTTTAATAAGAGATTGAATAGTATTGCTATACCACTCGATTTGTTGACACTGCCTCACCATGCTTGTTGTTGTTCCTCCTTTTCCATAGTTCCCACACAATTATATTAGGCAGTGCTTGGAATATTGGTTCGAGTCTCGGAATTACCTTTGTTGTCCAGCATTTCACAATAGCCTGATGCAGGTTTAAGCCCTCAAGAGATAATCTAGCATGAGAATAGAAGTAAGACCAAACCTTTAAGGCTGTGAGTGATCGATAGAAAACATGGCTTAATATCTCTTCCTTTGGCATTACACACCACCAATATTTAGATGGCATGTAGTATCTCATCCTTCTAATTACATCATCAAGTGGTAGCGTACCTTTCCATAGTTTCCACATAAAAAATGAGATCTTAAAAGGCAATCCTTTAACCCATATCTTTTCGTGTGTAGTAGCTGGATCTTTCCTTCTCCTCAAATATTCCCAAGCTGACTTAACCGTGAATTGACCTCTTGTTTCCAAACACCAGATAGGTTTGTCCAGTTCATCATTCATTGATGGAGCTTGTATGGTGTGCATAGCTAAGTCACCTGGCAATATTTCTCTAATTTTATGTCCATCCCACTGCCCTTCCACAACAACATAACTCACATTATGGATTATTTCATCAACTATAAACTCCGGGGGAATTACAAAGTAAAGGGACCCCAAGCATGTCCAATTGTCAAACCAAAATAGGGAAGATCCCATTTTTAGTTTCCAGAAAATCAGATGTTCAGTAGAGTCTCTGCGTTCCAACATTTTTCTCCAAACGTGTGATCCACCTCTCCAAGGAACAACAGTTGCATGCATCTTCTTCAAATATTTTTGACTCATAAAAGAGCCCCATAAAGATGGCTTAGTCCTGAAGTTCCACCATAGCTTGCAAAAGAGAGCATTTGACATATCATTTAAGGGTCGAAATCCCACTCCTCCTTCATGTTTAGGTAAGCATAAAGTATCCCAAGATGCCCAATGTCTAGCTCTGCCATCAATAGAATTGCTCCAGTAGAATCTCACAAATAACTTATGTAGTTTGTTTAAAACATAGGCCAGTGGATTTACTGCAGAAAGTAGATGAATTGTCATGGTTTGCAACACACTGCTGATTAGTACTGCCCTTCCTCCGATAGATAATAGTTTCCCTTTCCACGCTTGGAGTTTATCCAGCACTTTTGATATCAAATCTTCATAATACTCCATTTTTCTCCTTTTGTAAAAAATAGGACAACCCAGATAGATTAATGGGAAATCCTTTCTCTGTATACCAGTTATTACTTCAATCTTTCTAACAACTTCATCCCTTGTAGAATGGTGAACATAAACTACAGATTTTGCCTTGTTGATTAGTTGTACAGATGTTGCTTCGTAAGCATTTATAACTTCCATAATCAATCTTAAAGAAGTAGCATCTGAGCATGAGAAAATGATTGCGTCATCTGCATAAGCAAGATGGTTGATCTTAGGGCTCCACTTCGGCATTCCGAATCCACAAAAGTAAAGATTATGATGTAAAACATTTATACCCCTTGACATTGCCTCTGCAGCTAGTATAAATAGTGTAGGTGACAGAGGGTCACCATGCTTCACCCCTATGGTTGACTTGAAAAAACCATGTGGTTGGCCATTAACTAGAACTGAATACCAATTATTTGATACAATCCTAAAAATCAATCCAATAAACCATTCAGAGAAACCCATCTTCCTCTAGATCTTTGTGAGAAAAATTCAGGAGAGTCGATCATATGCCTTCATCATATCTAATTTTAGAACTACATTAGGGCCTGCCTTTGTCCTCAATCTAATGTTAGTGATTATTTCTTGAGTGAGTAATACATTCTCAACAGTACTTCTACCTTTTACAAACCGTGCTTGCTCATCAGATATAATATTAGGAATTTTATCCACTAGCCTCTCATGAATAACCCTCGATATGATTTTGTTAGAGAAATTACTCAAGCTAATTGGCCTTAAATTCGAGTAGTTCTGGACATCCTTCTTCTTAGGTAGTAGGACCAAATTTGTATGAGTCACAAATTTGGGTAGTTCCTGCCCACAGAAAAAAAGCCTGCACCATGTCTAGTATGTCTCCCCCAATGATTTCCCAACAAGCATGAAAGAAATTACCATTGAATCTATCAGGTCCCCCTGCACTGTCCCCATTCAAACCAAACACAGCCTCCTTCACTTCCTCAATTGTTGGATGCATTGTAAGCTCACAGTTCTGCACTTCATTTAACATTACTGGGACATGATCCAATATCCTAAAGTCAGTAGGAATTGTGGAATCATGAAACTGCTGCTGGAAGAAAAGAACAGCTTCATCTGCAATAGCTGATGGATCTTCCAACGAATTCCCATTCATGTCTTGTATTCTTTTCAGCTGTTGCTTCCTTCTTTTGCCATTAACATTAGCGTGAAACAATTTAGTATTTCTATATCCATCTTTGAACCAAGTCATACCTGCTTTTTGTTTCCAAAATTCGTCTTCCAAAGCCCACAGTCAAATAAGATCTGTTTGCACCCTTTGGAGCCTTTCACGATTTTGTACAGTTGGATTCAGTTCAAATTGTGTCTCATGTACCTTCACCACTTCCTCCAAGTTGGCTATCCTTTGAAATATATCACCAAACGCGGCCTTGCTCCATGTAGAAAGAGCTTTCTTAAGTTTCTTCATCTTGTGGTTAAAAAGTATGAATGGACTTGCATGGGAGTCTGCCAGCCAATGCTCCTTAACTACATCCAAAAATGACTCATGTTTGATCCAGAAATTTAAGAATCTAAATGCTTTTTTGATCTGACCAGTACTAGGATTATATGTGAGATGCATTGGGTTGTGGTCTGAGCCAATCTTAGATAAGTGATTTATCTCCAAGCCTGGCCAAAGTTGTTGAAGATCCATGTTGCCTAAACATCTGTCTAGCCTTTTGAATATGCAATCTTCCTCAGCTCTCCCATTCCACCATGTGAATATGCTTCCTTTGAAGCCAAGATCAAAATCATATTTTTGATCTATGGAGATCCATACTTTGTTTGAAACATTTACAACTACCTGCTAAAAACCCAGCCTTCTTCTATATTGCTCAATCGTTTTAGTCTGTTGCATTAGTTCCATCAAAGCAATAAAATCGAATTGATGTTGTCTATCCAATGTTATTACCCTTTCAAATGCTTGCATTGTGTTAACTAACCTTATATTCCAAATTAGAGCATTCATCATCAATTGATTGATTTGGATAGAGTTCTTCTTGTTTGGACTCCTGGAATATGCACCCCAGTATTCTCTCTTGGTTGTTTTTTCTTCCCTCTTCCCGCTGATTTACCTTTATCCATCTGTCTAGGTGAGATATCACCTTGTCTAGCAGCATTTATGAAGTTCTGTGTAGTAGATTCTGCATCCATATCTCTTCCTTTTGCCCTTTGTGTCTGCTCCTCTTTTTCATAATTTTTTTGATTGATTAACTGATTCCTGGTAGTTGTAGGAACCTTACTCTTAGCGTTAGTTTTAATCGTGACCATTTCCTTTGTAGTTTATGGATTATGGCATGTTACTGCTTCTTACATTTGAGTTAAGGTAGTCCCATCACCTGCATTAGTATTGCCTAAGAACTGCTGCAATTTTAATTCCACTTTCTTCTGAGTTCCTTCCATTTGTTGTTGTCTTGCTTCTTCCTTTTTATTATCTGGATCTCATGGATCATCTATATCCCATACTTTAAAGGTTTGGACTATAGGTTCATGTGTCTCAATAGTGCCAGAGACATTTGGTTCAGGATTGGATGGTGGTGTTGTGATTTTAAGAGGCTGTTCAATTTGGAAAGGTTGGTCAGCTGTAGTATTAGCATTGTTACTTTCTTCTGCTCTTTGTACTTCAATTCTGCTATTTTTGCCATTGACACTTTGTTGTTCCACATCTGGATCTTTGTTTTGTATTTATTCCACATCCTCATGTTCTTCTAGGAACTCTCCTTCGTCTGATTCTTCCTCACGTTGTTGCTGCCATAGTTTACCTCCTGAAAAATTGACACGATCCTTAAGACTTTCATGCTCAGGAATTATGCTTGTATCTATTGATTGAGATGGGGTTTCTTGGCATGACTGATTTGTAGTAACCTTAGGCATTGGGAAGGTTCTATTTACCCATTGAGAAGTATTCTCCTTACCTATTTTTGCACCTTCCTTAGTTTCATTCCCTTCCCCATTAGGATGCCAAACATGAACTCTCTTTGATGATGCCACTTCATTAGACATAGGAGTATAAATTGCTACATCTGGATCCAAGGCCTTCTGAATAGGCGTGGTCTGTATATCAGCTCCTTCAACAATAGCAAATTGATTTCCTGTTGTACTTTTATGTTCTGCTTGTAGAGATGCAAATTTGTTTGTTGTTTGAAGTTGTTTGGTTGTATTAACTTGAGAAAATTGCCTCCTTCCATTACCAATGTTCTGTTGGTTATTATCATTAGCTGTCATGATTTCCTTTGATGAAGTAGCATTATTTTGAGGATTACCAGATCCTTGCAGCTACTGCCCGTTAGCTTGTTCAACAGGAACAAATTCTTTCCTTGTAACCACACGATTTCCATTCTTCTTCACTCGATGGTTACAGGGAAAAATTGCCTTACTAGGATCTGCAGCACCGAAGTCTCCCTCTACCTTGTTTATCATTTCTATCTATTACCTTTCAGACAGTAGTTGTATTAGTTTTGTATATTCTCTAGATTGCTCATGCACTTGTAGTAGCTGGTTTTGGAGGATTTTTGTGTGTACGTACTATTTTATTTATTATTACTACCATTAATGTATTTATAACGTTGGTATTTTTGTTGAAAAAGAGTACGTACGGTTGCATGCAATCTTGCTTATTTCGTTCTTCAAAAAAGGAACTTATGTTTGAAATGTTAAAAAGGGGTAATTGCATTGTAGTTTCACATGTGGGATTGTCTAACAGGGGCGTTGGCTGCCATCACGACCTATTATGGGTTTTGGGTCGTGAGAATTTGGTATCAAAGCTTTACGGTCACATAGGTCTCACGAGTCATAAGCAGGCCTAGTAAAGTCTTTCGGATTGGTGCGAAGACGTCCATACTCATCTCACAGAGGCTATCGGGTGTTAGGAATGTAACAACCAAATTTTCCCTATAGGTCGTGATGTCACCCAACGTCGCCACTAGGAAAGACAACCGTTAACTAGCCATGTATTTATTCTTTTTCATAATTTCAAAGTAGTTAATTTTTATTTATTAAGTAAATGATAAGTGGAAAATTATAGTAAAATAGAGCATGAACCAATGAGAGAGAAAAATACGGTGAAATAAATACCCAAAACCATAAAGTGTCTACTAGCATATTCCCAGGACCTGGTGTCATAAATGTATGAGCAACTAGTAGAATATACAAAACACCTATGCTACTGTCTGAAATAGAATAAACAGAATGTAAATACAAAAGAGAGACTGCGGGTGCTGCAAAATGGACTCAAAAAGTAGCTCACCACTATGCCTCGGGGTAACGGGGGTGCGCGCTTGAATGACTTCCAGATGCACCTGGCTCATATCTTGCACGATTAGTGTAGAAGTATAGCATGATTACATAAACAACATGTACCTAGCAAGTATCCGGTCTAACCTTGAAGAAGTAGTGACGAGGGGCCGATATCGACACTTACTATTGGACAACCAATAAAATACAGAAATTTTAAATAGGCACAGAATATGTGAATAATAATAATAACACAATCGCAAGCAGTGAATAAATGATTCTTTAACTAATAGTCAATTTAAAGATCTCCAACTAACACATACTAACTCTATCAATTTCGGGCCAATAAATAAATTATAACCTCTCAAGTCATAAATATAATATCAAGTGTAATCGGGCTCCAAGCATATTCACGCATGATTTATGTCGAGGTCGTACGGCACGATGCAGAATAATGTATACACTGCGGAGGGTCGAACGACACATACCATAGATGCATCTATTATACTGCCGAACGGTTCGACCCGGTCCACAAGAAGAGAGAATATGTTATGAACATCCGATTTAAAAGCTATCACAAGACTAATAACCCACCAAAACACAAAAAGTGAAATTCTATCTTAATGAATCCTTTATCAAGTTTCAATATAATTTAGGCACTAAATTTAACAAGTAGAGTGCAAACAATACAAGTATTTCATGATTTGGGTCCTAAGACTACCCGAACTTAAGCATGATTTGTAGCCACGCACAGACTCCCTTCACCTCTTGCATACGTACCCCCACAATTAAAAGCAAATAGTAATTTAAAACATCTATAGAGTAAATTCCCTCTTACAAGGTTAGACAAGAGACTTACCCCATCCCAAAGCTCACTTTCCGGCCCACAAATTCACTCAAAGGCCTCAACTTGGTGCCGAACAATCCGAAGCTAGCCAGTTGATATATAAATTAATCAATATACACACAAAAGTTAATAATTTAGCTATTAGTGTGATTATCCAACCCAAATTGGAGGATTCTTAAAATTCACCCCAGGCCCACGTATACGGATTCCGAAAATTTTCGAAGATAAATGTTTTCTATAACCTTACGAACTCAAATATATAATTCCCACCAAATTTCATAATCATTTTCATGGTTGAATCTCATTTTTATCAAAATCTAGGTTTTTCAACTAAACCCATAATTTATCCAATTTATATGTTAAGAATATACCC